ACGCTGGGCACCGCCGGCAGCCGCGGGACCGCGGCCCGGGAGCGGCTGCAGGAGACAGGCGGACTGGCTGCTCGCCCTGCCAGAGGGCACCCGGGGTGCATGGCGGAGAAGAGGAGAATAAGGTTCATCTTCACTCGTTTCTTCCTTGAATTGTTTCTTGCTTGTTTGTTTGTTTTTAAATGACTTTTTCCTAAACACAGCCCAGGTGCGCTGGAAAGCTGAAGCAGAACTGGGTTTGGCTGTATCTGTTTCAGCCTGTGGCATGTGATTCTGACAAGAAGGTGCCCGAGTGCTCTTGGCAGGCACGAGGGAGACGCTGACTGGGGGCAGAAGTAGGTTGAATTGGAAGAAATTAGTCAAAACTGAGAATTACCTGTAGCAAGCAAACGTGTTTCTCACTGTTTTACGTTTTGATTTTTTGCTGCTTTTTTTTTTCTTTTTCACAAAGGATTTTGTGCTTTCAAGGGTCCCTGTGAGTTATCTGTATAAACACCCCCGCCGTTGCTATGCGAGTGCTGCTGCTCTTGAGTGTGCTTAGCTGCCCTTAACACAATGCAGTGTGCTCTCTCTGCTGTGGCTCTGTACAGTGGATAGGAAGCTTCCCAGGACCTTTGCTTCTTTTTATCTTCTCCCCCCGCCCCATTCCTTTTTAAATGACTCTTTCCTGTGCGGCGTTCCTGCCCCCCTGGTGGTAACCCCCGAAGGGAGGGATTGCAAAGACCTTGCTTTACCCCGCCTGGATTTCAGCGGTAGTTGTCTCATGTCTCGCTGCTGGGCTGAAAGCTGCTGTGAGAACAGAGGATATAGGATGTGGTTTTGCGCTGTCAGAGAACAGCTGCACCTTTAAATCAGGTACGTTGTAGTTCTAGTTATGAAGCAGGAGAGAAGTACAATTCATGTCTGTTACTCCAGAGAGAACAAGAACTACTCTATTGCAAGAGCAGTGGCAAGCAGCCTGACCCTGGCATTTAATCCTATAGCCTGTACACAGGAAACAATAGAAGATCTAGGTCACGGTAAAGGAAAGTGCTCAATACCTTGAACTTTTATTTGAAGTTTGGTATCTAAAGTTCACTTCTTAAAGAAAAAGGAACTGGAGGGAGAAGTGGAGTTGCAATGTCCCAGGCTTGTTTACACATGTTAGCGCTGAGAAATTCTGGTGGGGCTTCTTGGCACTTCTACAGATCGGTGATCTGCATTTGTGCAGCAGCTGCCAGCACAAAGTGCTTGGCATAAGCGTCCTGAGAGCTGAACACTCAACTTCTGTAACTCAGATGAATATGCAGCCCACGCTTCGGTTTAAAATGCAAACCGAACATGAGCCAGACAGTTCTGCAGAGTTTAAAAAGCTGCAAACTGCAGCCTGTAGTTTCCACAGAATGAAATCTCTGGAGAGGAGGTGTATTTGCTCTTAAAGCTGAGGTAATCTGCTGCCTGTCTGATTGTTCGTATAGGTTTAATTTGACTTCCTGCCAAAATGCTGGAAGGATGTGGAAACAGGCAACACAGAGCACACATGGCAGTGCATCCCTTGGGCACATGAGTTGGGTTGAGTACAAGTCTTTTTAAACTGAAACCTTGGTACCCCAGCACTGTGTCCTCATGGGTACTTATTTAACTGCTGCTCTTCTTCTGTGGTGTCAGAGGCTGGAACACAATTTGCTGCATACGAGTCCATTTTCAAGCAATGTTTCTGTGAAGTTTTATCTGGTTTAAGGTTTCTTAAAAGAAGCAACAAAATGAAAACTCTGAGACAGTCAGGATTCTACTTGATGCTGTTGCTGACCACACAGCAAATTTTAAAATGCAAATGTATTAATACAGTATGAAAATCCACAAGTGAGTAGTTAAAAGTTACAGACAGTGGCATATTCTCAATTTTTGTTTGCAGCTTGTTATTAGAACAGTGCATCCCCAGAGATGTTGGCAAAAAATATTTTATCGAATTCATTGAATTGGCAGTTTCCAACAAATTTTTCAAAAAGCTGTCGTTTTCAATTGTTGGTTTGGGTTTTTTTTTCTCCAAGAGAGGTGAGTGTTTTTCATGAGAAAGCTTGCCCTATTTGAATTAAGTTGATGTTGCCATTACTGGCAGGATCAGAGGGGGAGATGTTACTGTAGATACCCCCTGAAGGCTGCAGGCAGGCTCCATCCTGTTATGTGGAGTGAAAAACTATTGCTTGTGCTCAGTAACTGTATTTCTTGATTCTTAGGGACTTTCAGCAGGCTGATACAGAGAATTTATCTAGATGGAAGTGGAGAAGAACTAGCAGTAAATCCTTTAAAAAAGCACTCAGTGAAGTCAAGGGCTTGTCATCTTACCTGGTGCTTTGGCGACATGATATTCACAGCATAGAAGGTATTTCTTGTCTGATGTCCATTTCTCCTCTGGAAAGTTGCTTCTGTTGTTGGCAGTTTCACCTGTGTGAGCATAGTTTCAGATATAACTATATGTGCTTAAGAAGTTACTTTCTTCCTTTATTATTGCTGAATGTAAAATCCGTGCTATGGTAGAGGGAAATATATTGGAAAAAATTATTAATATGTCCACCTGAATTTCAGTTATGTTGTTAAAAGTCTGTGGTACTTCAAAGTACTTCAGTTCAGTGAAACTGATTTTGTAATCTGCTCTTGCTGTATTTTAAATGCTTTTATCATCTTAATTATTGACACGTGTTTCTTTTATTCCCAGGGAAATTTGGTACTGGCATCCAGTCCTACTTCTCCTTCCTGCGCTTTCTGGTCCTGCTGAACTTTATAATTTTTATCCTGATGTTCAGTGTTGTTATTCTTCCCACCATAATGTATAAATATGGAATATTCAACAGTACCTCTGCTTACATTTCTCCAAAGAACATAGGTAAACATCTTCTCTATGTACAGCTGTTGTAAGATTCCCCGTTTCCATCAGCTTCTTCTCCACTGCCCAGAAAAAAAAAGGAAAGCCTTTTTATAAGAATGTGGCATGTTTGAATTAACATGATCTTTCAGTTCAGTGGGCATTACCATTTGAGTGACTTTTCATGCCTTTTTTTTTTTTTTTGACAGAGGATGTCTGCACAATTTATGAACCTAGTGGTAATAAGGGACTTGTTTACTTCTTTACTTACCTCAAAGATTTGCTCAGTGGCACTGTAAGTAATTTTTTTTTTTCTCATGTAGCATTAAAAATGTAAAAAAACCCAAAAAACTACTTTTGGAATGAAAATTGAAAATTTTGAGAAATGGTAAGGCACATGCATCAGTGGGGTATGTTATCTCTGAGACAGGCAGTTTTCAAACTGACTTTTACTGAGCGACCACAAGGCCTGGTTGGCCACGTGCTGCAGCCTGTGCCTCTCCTCTCCAGCTGCTACCCTTTATTATTCTGGAGCACACTGCCTATTGTGCTCTCTGTGTAGGGTCCCAGTGTCTGTGTCCTCATATATCATACAATCCTCTGATTGGAGAGGGGAGGGATTTTAAGCACACAGTGCCTGCATTACAGTTTGGTAGAGGCAATGGCAGTGTTTAGAAGCTACAGACTTGTAGCTTGCTGGGGGCCCTAATTTTAAATTTATTAAACGATTGCTTATTGCCAGGTTGGATTTAATGGGGCAGTTGTTGCTGCTGTTACAGATTCTATTTCAACTTCATTTTCACAGGGATTCCTTGAAGTGACAAGTTTGTTTTATGGCTATTACTCAATAGATGCTACATGGCTCAGTGTCAAGTACAACTTGCCTCTTGCATATCTACTGGCTACATTTATCTACCTTGCCTTAAGTTTCATCTGGATAATAAAGAGGTAAAGATGTTGGTGTTGTTTTTTTACTGTTATTTGTTGCACAGTTTACATTGTATTCCTGCTTGAAGGGAACATGCTGTATTCTGGAGCTGTTTATGTGGAAATGGGGAATCTTTTGCCTGACCATGCAGTACCGCAGAAGCCTTTGGTGTGCTTGGGAAACAGCAAACAATTTGAAGTATCAGGTTTTCATATGTATACATAAGCAGAAGCCCCTCAACTATACTGAATTTGTTGGAGGATTTTCTTTAGGGGATTTTGATGGAGTTTTATTTGTGCTGTCTCAGTTCCCTTTGCTGTGTCTGGGTGAGGTGAGAAGGAGTGATTGTGAAGTGCAGGTGGGAATAACCTGTATCAGTTAGGGTCAGCTGCTGCAGAATTTCACGCTGAAAGTGTCCCAGACACTGGCTGGCACTAAGCAAAGGTGACAGTTTGCTCACAGAGTGGGTCATTTACTCTTTGATCAGCCAGGTTGCTTGTGTGTGTTTTTCTTGTGCATAAAATACATCTTCCCATGAATTTTTCTCTAGGTCTGTGGAAGGCTTTAAGCAGAACTTAGTGCATGATGCAGATCCATTTCAGAGTTACTCTAACAAAGTCTTTGCAGGCTGGGACTTCTGCATTACAGATCCAAGTGCAGCCCGGCTGAAACATCGCAGCTTGCAATATGAGATCCAGGTGAGCAACTTCTTTTTGTGATTATGGTTTCATACAGCTAAGATGGCAGAAAAAGAGATACGTGTAATTTTGCAGATAAGGGAATAAAGTTAAGAAAGATTGAAGTAGCTTGTTTTGAGGGTGCAGCCCACATACCCTTGCATGCTTTCTAGGTAGCTGGAGTTGTGTGCAAAGTGAGAAGGCACAATGTTGTACCCTTCCCCCATCCACTGGGGACCGATGCCAGCCTGTTAGCTGCTTGTCTTATCTGCCTCTTCCTCACACTCCAGTCCTGCTTCCTGTGTTAGTTTCTGCGTAGTCCAACAGGAAAAGCTGTCCCAGCCACAGCCAGAACCCTGCAGGAATCAGTATGAGAGTCCTGGGGTTTAAGTGTACAGTGCAGTAATCAGTAATTTGGGGAGAAATAAAACTCAGATTGTGCTCTTTGTGCTGTTTGAGAGTATTGTTGCTGTAAGAAGACACTGAAAGCTTTTCACTAGGTATCTGGCATACATGCACATACAAACTGCTGATGCAGCTGTAGATTTCCCAAATCATAAAGCTCGGAAAAGAGTCTGAAAGGCTCTTTTGGTAAAACAAGGACCTTCTTTTTGTTCTCTGTACACTGGAAGCAGAGATTTGTGTAGTGAAAAAATTACATTTGAGAAGATGCTTCTACTTCAAACCACAAAGCAGTAATTACAGAGTTCATAAATCAGTGAGTTGCTTTCTTCTCTAGTAAAGTTCACTAGAACTTCTTTTTTCATCATAGAACCAATCAGAACCAATCAGAATCTCCTTCACTTGCTACACTTTTGCCTCCAGAACACACATCTTAGAAGAACTAGCCCCTTAATATTACTGTTTGATGGACATAAGTCCTCAGAAAATATGCTCATATGGGTGTTAATGTGGGTTTTCACAGGTTAAACTGTCTTCACGGGAGATAATGTATTTTCATGTCAGTTAAGGTGAAATACACCAAGTTTGCATGGCAAGCTGCTCAAGATTGTACTTCTTTCTTTCAGTGCCATCCCCCAATTTCCTTCACAAAGAGTAAAAGGAATTTTGAGCCATAGTAGTGAGGGCTGGGTACTTACCTGCAGAAGTAATGAGATGAGTGACTGGTTTACCCATTTCAGAGTTTAGTATCAAGATGAGCTCAGTCTCTCTCAAGAACAGGCAAACTGTCTGTCTTCAAGGAAATGCGTTACTGATACAGTAGAGATAAGAGGATTGCAGGACACTTTTCTTTGGCTACAGTGCCCTCAGCTTGAGGAGGCTGAGCACACAGGGGATTCCATTCCTGCATGGAGCTGTTTTGTCAAAGGAAAGACAAAAAAAAAGTTCTGTGTACTTGGGCGGGCGCTGGAGTAGAACAAGCTACAGATTTGCATTTCTCAGGGGTAGAAGACGTGGTGTTTAGTGTTGTATGCTGCACCAAAAAACTGCATCTCTTTTTTCTTTCCTTTGTAGACAGACTTACAAGAAGAAAAACTGAAACAAAAAATAGCTGAGAGGACAATGGAAGAAAAGCTACGCATCTATTCTCTGAGAATATTTATAAATATAATTGTCATTGCCATTTTATCAGGATGTTTTTACTCTATTTATAGAGTAACTGCCTTCTCTCAAGAAAACTCCAGTGTGAGTATAAGAAATGACACTAGGACAGAATTGGTGAAGGCTGGTGATTACAGCAAGAGGAACTATTGTGAAAGAGTCAAGTATCTTAATATAGCACTTTTCATGCAGGGATCTGAAAATGCTTTCTAGACTTGCAATTTTTTTTAGTAGATGAGAGCAGGAAAGGTCAAGAACCATGAGCCAAAAATGCCTCCCCAGTAATGTCTCCCATTGCTGCAGAGGCTTCAGTGTGGAGTGTCTTGGAGCTGGTAAGAAGAGCAGCCCTCACTACCCTTCCCTTGTAACTCTGCTCACCACACTGTGATTTGCTGGGTCTGAGCAGTGAACTGCCTGGGAGAAGTGACCTGCTTAAACCAAACTTCATCATCATCAGTTTCACATGATTTGGTTCACTGTCAACTGCAAGAATGCACTTCAGGGGAAGACAGAGTGAAGATTATGATCTGTCTTGTGGCTTGAGTTACCGCTGTGTGGGGAAACAGGAAGGCTTTGAACACAGCAGTTTTCAGAAGCAAAGGTTCCTTCATCACCAGCAGAAAGGATCAGGTTGGGTGGGTTTCACCTCCGGCAGGATAAGCAGATGGAAAGAGTGGTTCAGAAGCAGAACAAAGCAGACAAGCTTCTGGTTACTCTGTTGACAGCCTCACAAAAATAATTGACTTCTCTGTAGGACCCCAGGATTTGATTTGTCTGGTAGAAATGGGGACCACAATTTTTCTCTCCCCTGTGTAAGTTGCTGGTGTGATGGATTTGGCTGTTCACAAGGAAAGTTGTGCAAAGTTAGGTGGACCTAACTCTGAATTTCTGTAAACTGCCAGGATTGCACAGGCAGAAGCAGGAAATGGGAGCTAAATGAGTTTTTATGTCAGAGGTATTGTTTGAGGGCAGAGAAGAGGACTGCACAACACTGAACAACTTCAAGAACAGCTTCACTTACTGTGGGCTTTAAGTAGAAGGGTTGGTATCTTGACCTTGTCTTAATGAGCAGTTAGAGGAGCTTGTCAGGATAGTAGGAAAGTCAGGGAAGCTGCTTGGCTCCAGAGTAAAGAATAAATTGAAAAGTGTCTGCACTTGGAATAGTTGTAAAACGTAGCCTTGGTGCTGGCTAGTAACAGTCATACACAAACCTTGATGAGTTGAACCTCTAAACAGGAGCTTTGAGCAGGGAAGGGAGTTCCTGGTAAAGAGAGCAGGAAAAAGCAAGGGTGTGTAGCAGCAAACTGCAGAGATAGCAGTGACCAGGCTTGTATAAAGAATAGAGATTTGTTTTCTGTGAAACTTGCTTGTCTAGAGGTATTCAGAATCAGCCCTGGGTTTGCCATTCATGTTAAACCTGCTGTTGATTCCTATTGCCCAGTGCAAATGTTGGTGGAGGATGAAGCCAGAGCCTGAAGCTGCTACCTGAATCCTGGACAAAGCAGGCTGGTGTGTAGCTGGAGACAGCACGCTCAGGAAGGTGTGTTTCTCTAAGCATTATGTTTCTCTCATCTCTTCTTCTGCAGAACATTAACAATGCGAACTCCCAGGTTAATCTCTTAGTCCAGTATTTGCCTTCAATGGTGATCACACTGGCCAACTTCATTGGTCCTCTGATCTTCTCATTTCTCATTGGATTTGAAGACTATACGCCAGCTTTTGAAATCAAACTGACACTCTTGAGGTAAAGATGTTTTTATTGTGGCCTTTGATGTTTCAACAGTTTGTTCTTGGTAGGATAAATATATTGTAAACTGAAACATCAGGAAGCAGTGAAGTTGGCACTAGAAACCAAGGAGGCATTGTTTGGCCTATGTTTAGTAGGAAACTTTAAAGCTGGGAACAATGTGTTTTG